CCAGATACCCTGCTAGGAAAAATGCGTAATTTCTAAAAATGGAAATAAAACAAAAAGCTCACTAGGACTCTGAGAGCGCAATATAAAAAAAGACTCACACCAGGGGTCCTCCCTCCCGGGACCCGCAGGTGCTACGAAAACCCCCGCCTATGCTTTTGGCGGGCAGGGATTTTACTACCACTTTTTTTTTGGTGGAAATTTGGGTCAGAGACCAGAGGGATGATTCGAACCCAGGCCGTTCATCTGGACTGTTAGTAGGTGTAAGAGACTTAGGCTACTTAACCACTGCACCATCGCAGCCCTGGTTTGTTGACAGGGTAAACAAATTGCGGGTGATATCTGCCCAGAGAGCTAGGTTTCAAGGGAGAATAGACTGCTGGTCTCTAGAGCTAGGTCCCTAGGAGGCGTTTCTAATGTAATATGCCTTAGCCTGCTTCGAACACCTTGTCTCCACATGCCCTGCCTTCGAAGAGCCTGCGAGGCAACCAGACTGGCAGAGGGCGCTCTACTTTCTTCCTTGCTTTTCAGTCACAGTTACAACTTCACTACTATCTATCACCGCCTACAATGCTACCTACTTCAGCTTATCCCGTCAGGTAGCTTCATAGAATCGAGCAATCGTCAGGTCCAACAACTCGAGGGTAGTTGTCATGGCATTCCTTTCTGATTGAGCGGAATTTCTCACATCACATCACCATAGACTTGGAGTCTCCTTAGTACGATCACCTCAGTCGCTTTTCTGCTTTTCTATATTATTATCACGTGTGATTTTGTCACTTCACTCTGTTTCTATATTTGCGTCTTTTATTAGCCTTCATCAGACCTACTTAGCTGCTTAGGTGGGTAGATACTCCAGGTACCAGGTAAGCTATCATTCACTTATCTAAGCTATCTTCTTTGAGCATATCTTAATCCGTAGTTTCTATTTTCCTAATAGCTGTCATAACGCCAGAGTCCATCAGAGAATGTCGACTCACGTTCCAAGGCTCCACAACCCCACAGACTCCACAGCCCGCATGGCTGAAGAATAAACAATCGCCCGGGGTTCTTAACTTGATCTCTGATCAATCTCTGATCAACGAAGTACAGATCTGTACAACTGAATCCAGAATAGAATTCATAGCCAAAATTGAAATGATAGTCTGCCAAATGCCCACAACGAAGCCTACAGGTAGACTGAATAAGGGAGGAAAAAAATTCCACCCATACGACACCCATCCATGGCCCTCGGAAAGTGACAACACTAAGGACCAGAGAGTGTTATGGACCATCCGCAGAATGCGTTACTGTTGCAGGAATATACAGAGTTGTATGCTCCGACTATGTCTGGACAAGCTTTGCCTATAAATGGTCGTATAAACCAAGTCTCTTGTTAATATTTCTTGTTAATATTTAGAATATTGCTAATCGATATAGACAAAGATATACTGCCAGCACTTTGAAAAGCCAAGTCCTCCCCTACTAATGGCCTCTGCTCAACCTCCATACTAGCCAAAACGCCAAACTACTGGTAGGTTATCTGTCTGAGGATACTAATAATAGCGCCAATACGGGTAAGGAACAATTCTTCTGGCATCTGAGGGCAAGAATGGTTTTGACACGTTAAAGAAGACTGTTCTGTGCGATAGATGCTGTCGTCTCTGAATATATTCAATTACACAGCAACTAAAGCAATCCTTCACAATACATCGATCGACTCAGCCTATGCCTGGTGGGCCAATGGCCAAGGGCTGAACATCGTGATAAATATTCGTTACACGCAATAATTTATCTTTACTCAAGCAGACATAGCATCAATGACAATTGCGTGCCCTGTGCTGGCTTCGAAGGGCGATAATCGCAACGGAAATAGGTTGATCCGACGGGGGCGCTGGGACGGCGATGCTGGCGCCGGGAAGCTGTGGAGATGCTCCAATACGGGAAAGCAAGCAAGCGGCCTGCCTGACCCGGACAACAACAGCGACCACCCATTGAACCACTTCTCCGCCGCTTCTCATTTCTGCTGCTGTCGTTTCTCTTTCGGTTCTCGGTCTGTGGGAGTGGCAGTGGCAGGCACCATGTCGAACAAGAGAATCGAGCAGTGGGAAATCGAGCGGTATTGGGAGATCTTCTCGTCACTCACCAATGGCCAGCCCCGTCTGAACAACTCGCAGGCTGCCAGCGTCCTCCGGAATAGCCGGCTTCGTGATGAGCAGCTCGAGAAGGTTTGGGATCTGTCGGACCTCGATGGAGATGGGGAGCTGGATTTTGAGGAGTTTTGTGTCGCTATGCGACTGATCTTTGATCTTGTCAATGGGGTAAAGTGGCACCCATATGTCGAGCTCATGCCGGACATCACAAGAGCCAGGGAACCTTGGCTAATATTGTGGGTGTGTGTGGAAATAGGAATATCAAGAAGTCCCGCGCGCATTGCCAGACTGGTTGATTCCCGAATCCAAAGCGCATTTAGTTCAGGCCGCCCAGGCATTAAGCGGTCGCCAGGAACAATTTGAGAGGATAGAAGACGAAGATGAGTCGCAGGGGTTGAAGGATGGGTTTGACTGGTATATGAGCCCGTCTGACAAAGCAAAATATGAAGAAATCTACGATGCCAACAGAAATCATCGTGGAGAGATAACATGTTCGTGACTCCCGTGCTTTATCGTGCCCCGCCCTTTGCACCGTACATGCGTGGATGCTGATACATCTTTTTCTGCACAGTCGAATCCTTACAACCCCTTTATGATTCACTGGACGTACCAGACACCGATATACGATCGGCGTGGAACCTCGTCAACCCTTCCGCGTCACCTTCCATCAACAAAGATGCCACGCTCGCCTTCCTTCATATTCTGAATTATCGGCACGAGGGTTATCGCATCCCGCGCACTGTTCCGCCATCTCTGCGCGCCTCTTTTGAGTCCAACAAGATTGACTACCAGATTGATAATGTCCGTCCTGCGCAGCGGTGGGGAGTAGACGGGGATACCGAGACCCCCACTGGCCGCAAGGCCAAGTTCGGCGATACGTATCTGAGTCGGTTGGGTGTCAAGTCCAGTTACCGTCCCCAAGGTACCGACTTCAGCAACACGATCCAGGATGAGGAGTGGGAAAAGGTCCGACTCCGACGGGAGCTATCGGAGCTCGAGGCCAAGCTGGAAGCCGCCAACCGCGCCGCGGAGCAGAGGCGAGACCGGGAACGCCCGCGGAACGACGGCCGACCAAACTGGGCATTGATAAAAAAGGAGGCGCTGCAGCTTTTGGAATACAAGGAACGCGTGCTCCGCGAACTACGAGAAGGCACCGGCCGCGCCAAGGAAGGACAAGACCTGGAGAGACTTCGCGAGGATGTTAAGGCGGTCGGTGAGCAGGTTGAAGGGCTGAAGAACCACCTCGCGAAACGGAATGAGGTTTTGGAGGATCTGCGGCGGCAGATCGAAGATGAGAAGGCCCGGCGATAGAAATATACGTTAGGGGCAATGTACATATTATACTATTTCGGTTCTTCTGTGACCGATTTATGATTTTTTTTTCTTATCGTCTGTACAGCCATCTTCTATGGAAGGGAGTATGGGCGCAATTTTGCATAGGGATAGTATTGTCATTATTGTGATTCAAATCTGTCTCTTGTCTACCCGGACATGGTTCTCTCTTCCTCGCATTATTATTAATCGCACAGAAACGAAAAAAAAAGTGAAGTAATTATTGTACAGGACGTAAAGGCAGAGAGAGAGAGAAAAAGAAATCCAGAATACCAGATACAAGTACCCTGTAATTGCCCAAACGCCGCCCTAGTCCCGACCATCCATAGACCTACGCCCTAAAAACTCCCACCAGTTCAAAATCGAGTCGCAAAAAAAGAAAGGCACGACAATGAGAAACTCAACTCCCAATAGATGCTTGCTCGTAGCAACGTTATCAATCGTCAAATATCACTCATCGCACGGTAAGTTCGGCCATAATACCCCCTTGGTCTAACCCCTTCGTCTCGACGGCCGTAAAGGCGCGTCCGGTCTTCTCCAGACCTTTCTCGGCTCGTGCGTACGCCTCTTCGCTCCTATCGGTGAGGATGTCGAGGTCTTCCTGCGACAGAAGGGACTCGGGATTGTTGCCCTCGACGTCGAACTGCTCGAATTCGTCCTCTCCGAGCGCCTTGAGGAGCTCCTCGATGTCGTTCTGCGTGGTGCCGGGGTCGAGGAGGCTCCTGAATTTGCCTTTCTGGATGACGAGGCGCTCGAGCCGGCGTTTCGAGTCGGCCTTTTCGAGGAGTGTCTGCTCCACGGTGCCTTTGGTCGCGAGACGGTAGACGATCACGGGTTTCGTCTGGCCGATTCGGTGTGCGCGATCCTGGGCCTGGAGGTCCTGTTGTGGGTTCCAGTCGGAATCGTACAGGATGACGGTGTCGGCAGCCGTGAGATTGATCCCCTGACCACCCGCTCGCGTGCTCAGCAGGAAGATCTTGTAGTTATCGTCGGTGTTGAAGGCTTTGATTTGAGCTTGGCGATCAGCCTGGCTCACAGCGCCGTCAATGCGACAACACTTCCAGGACCGCAGTTGAGTGGCCCAGTCTTGGAGGAGATCGAGCTGTGTCTTGAACTGAGAAAAGATAAGAATCTTGTGCCCTTTCGACATGAGACAAGGAACCAGTCGATCGAGAAGAAGCATTTTCCCGGATGCCGTAACCAACGTCTCATCCACCGTAGACGAGTCGTCACCCCAGGGCCAATAGAAATTGTGAGGAGAATTGCAGGCCAAGCGGGCCTGCATAACGGGGTTCTGAAGCTTTTTGTTGGCAATTTCCTTCTCTGATGAAAATGTTAGTGTCAAGCCACAGGTAAAGACAATGAACTAAATTGAAACAAGAGAAAGCAAATTTCGGGCAAGGACCGAACATACTGGCTAGCTTAATTGTCTTGGCCCTCTCAATCTCTTCCTGTTCAGTTTCGCCCAGCTCTGGCTCTTCTGGTTCTTCCTCTTCGATACCATTCTCCATTCTGCGCAGCTTGGCATTGAACTCACGGTCACTGATATCCTTGTAATTTGGACGGCCTCCCCGCCTACGGCCTGAGCTTGCAAGACTGGCCGGCGTAGAAGAGCGACTCGATTTCAAGCTTTTGCTAGGAGACGTAGATTCGCTGTCTTCCGACTTTCTCTTCAAGCTCGCCGCGCGCGACGGTCTTTCACTGGCATTTCTAGCTTCGATCCTTTCCACGGCCTTATCTTCCAAGAACTGACGGGCGGTGCCGTTGAGAATCTCGCGATACAGTTCCTTCTGTTCAGA